ATTTTCAAACCATTATCAACATTGATAATCAGGACTTTCCGGCTAATATTAGAGTTGTTCCAAATCATTCTATGCAATTTTCTCTTATTGTAGGATGTGACGTAATTAAAAATGCTAAATTAACTATTACACCAGACGGTATATATTTTTCAAAACCTCCCGAGCAATGCTTTGAAACTGCTCCTGAATCTTTCATTTTTGCAATAAATGACGATGTTCCAGCTTTTGATATTGGTTCAAATGTTTCCAAAGAAACTCGTGCTGCGGCAGAACGTTTGCTGAATTCTTATGTCCCAAATAAAACAAAGACGACAGATATTAAACTTAATATCACTCTATCCGATGATAAACCGATTTTTCACCCTCCTAGACGCCTTCCTTTTGTTGAACGGGAAATTGTTGACAAACAAATAAATGAATGGTTGAAACTTAAAATTATTGAACCTTGTTCATCTCCATATGCCAGTCAAGTTCTCGTGGTGCGTAAAAAAGACGGTACACCCCGTGTTTGCATCGATTATAGGAAACTTAATCGACTTTTAATTAAGGATCATTTTCCTCTTCCTCTTATTGATGACATTTTGGATAAACTTCAAGACGCGCCAAATTTTTAGTACTCTTGACCTACGTAACGGCTTTTTTCATGTGCCAGTAGCGGACGAAAGTAAACCATATACAGCTTTTGTAACTCACAATGGACAATTCCAGTTTCTTCGAATGCCATTTGGTCTTTCAAATTGCCCTTCAGTATTCCAGCGCTTTATAAATTATGTTTTTCGTGATTTAATTGTCAAAGGTTATGTTTTACCCTACATGGACGATGTAGTTATTCCCGCCAAAAATGAAAATGAGGCCATTCATCGTCTCAACCAAGTACTCAAAGTTGCTAGTGAATATGGTCTAGAAGTTAATTTTCGTAAATGTCAATTTCTTCACAAAAAAATCGAATTTCTTGGACATATCGTTGAAGGCGGTAAACTTTTCCCTTCCCCTTCGAAAACAAAATCTGTAATTAACTACCCCGAACCTCAGAGTACGAAAGACGTCCAACGCTTTCTCGGTCTCACGGGATATTTTAGGAAATTCATCCCCTCATATTCTAGCATTGCAAAACCCCTTAGTGATCTCCTTCGTAAGGACACCCCCTTTCAATTTCATGCTGATCAGAAAGCCGCATTTCACAGATTAAAATATTTGCTTTCTCAACAACCAGTTTTAAGTATTTTTAATCAAAAGAGTCCTATCGAAATTCATACCGACGCATCCATTGATGGCTTGGGGGCAGTCCTACTACAAAAATCTATGAACGATAACAGCTTTCACCCTGTCTACTACATGTCAAAGAAAACATCGGACAATGAGCGTAAATACACCAGTTATGAACTCGAAGTCCTTGCAATTGTTGAAGCTTTAAAAAAGTTCCGTATTTACGTCCTTGGTTCACATTTTAAAATTATCACTGACTGCAACGCTTTTGTACAAACTTTAAATAAAAAGGAACTCAATTCGAGAATAGCCCGATGGGTTTTATATCTCCAAGATTTTGACTACGAAATTGAGCACCGTACCGGCTCAAAGATGGCTCACGTGGATGCCCTCAGTCGCAGTCCATGTTGCATGACTATCCAAGACAGTGTCCTTCTCCAATTTCGCAAAGCACAAGAAACCGACGAGCATATTACGGCTATTAAAGCACTCCTTCAAACAACGCCTTCGTATGATAACTTTCTCGTTAAGAACAATCTCCTGTACAAAAACGTCAATGGCATTGACTTACTTGTGGTGCCTGAGGATATGCAGGCAAATGTCATTAAAGCAGCTCACGAACGAGGCCACTTCGCCGTAATCCGCACTCAAGAACTTTTAAACAACGAATATTTTATCCCAAATTTGAAAGAAAAAATTGAGCGGTGTATCCATAACTGCATCCCATGCATCCTCAATAATCGAAAGCGTGGCAAGCAAGACGGACTTCTGCACCCCATTGACAAAGACGACGCACCCTTGCACACGTACCATATCGACCACTTAGGTCCCCTTGCCACCACATCAAAGAAATACAAACATATTTTGGCAGTTATAGACTCGTTTACTAAATTCGTGTGGCTTTATCCGACAAAGTCTACAGACGCAGATGAAGTTATCAGTCGGCTGGAATCTCAAAGATCAGTCTTCGGAAATCCTTCACGGATTATCTCTGATCGAGGCCCTGCATTCAAATCCACTGCATTTGCAAACTATTGTGACACACAGAGAATAAAGCACGTTCTTATTACAGCTGGCCTCCCACGATCGAACGGTCAAGTTGAGCGTTTGAACTCCATTATTATTGCTGTCCTTTCTAAACTCTCCATAACCAACCCTGAGCAATGGTACCGCCATGCAACAAATTATTAATTCAACTTTTCAACGTAGCATCAATTCTACTCCCTTTGAACTTCTCTTTGGGACTAAAATGAAATCGCAAAACGACATAAACATCGCTGCTCTAATCGACGAGGAGATCAAATCTGCATTCATTCAGCAACGTGACGATCTCCGTAAGGACGCAAAACAGCAAATCTCTAAAGTGCAAGACGAAAATCGCCGTACTTATAATTTGCGACGAAAACAGGCACAAAAATTTCAACTTCATGACCTCGTGGCTATCAAACGAACTCAGTTTGGCCCTGGTCTAAAACTCAAACAGAAATTTCTCGGACCTTATAAAGTCACCAGGCTCAAACAAAATGACACATATGATGTGGAAAAGTGTGCATTTTTCGACGGACCATCCAAAACATCTACTTGTGCTGAATACATGAAACCCTGGTCCAACAATATTGAACGTATCACTTAATTTTTATTAAACTGTCAGCATTATAGGTCCTCCTGTGTTTGGACAGATGACACCTGAGAACTTTCTAATAATTTTTTTTTCCTCATATCAACTTTTTAATTCATTTTGTCATACTAATGTTCTTTTTATTTTTAGTTAACTGCTGTGGTGTGTTTAATCTATTTTTTTTGCTCCATTTGTGTAAGTATACTCAGCTTTGTATTTACAGATTATTTTTTCCATACCTATGTTACTATGCTATAATAATTTTTTTTTAATTTGATGATATACTATGTGGCTTCAGGCGAGGTCGCCTGTCCGGTCATGATGGCCGAATGTGGAAAACGTTATGTCATGATATTCCCTAATCCCCTACTGTGACGTATGCATTGCGTCAGCATGTGTTTCCCGCCTTTGGGAGAAGACGAGGATTAGCTGGCGAGCGGAGCAGAGGTCGCTCGATCGCTCGTATACCATTTTCATTAATTGTAATCCTAATGTAATCTATATTTGTAGTAATAAATGTGTGTTATCAACTATGGTCGTTGCCTTTCCCCACATTTATGCTTAGAATAGAAGGAAGGGTGCTCTGTATATTATCATGACGGCGTTTCATTTATGGTAACCTGATTAGTTGAATGTTATGGAAATCCTATTGTGACGTAATCGATCGAGTGTTGCCGTAAATTTTGAATGACAGCAAAAAGATTTGTAAGGACTTGTGGTATGTGCTGGTTAGGAAGTACATTGCTTGTTTTGTTGTTTAGACGATCGAATGGCTGAATGTTGCAAGATTAATTTGAATTTCTGTACGATTTGGAACGAAAGGAGAAAAGTGCATTAATTGGCTGGTGTGTAAACGAAGGTTTATTTAGTAGCCATTATAAGTGTTCTGTTTGTAGGAAGGAAATGCATATGGTTGAAAGTCAGATGATATTTTTGTGAATTTATGCGGCAATGCCTATATACAGATTCTAGTTCACATAACTTTTTGGATGTTGTTAAGGAATTTTGTGTGCCAACGTTTGAAGGACTTGGAAATTTCTAAATAAGGTAAGTGGATATTTGCTGAGTGTAGTGCTTAGATGCAAATTATGTATTTTTTGTTTGCTTCTATTGTAGAATAGGGTGCTCCTTTGACTTCTTAAGTGAAAATAGATTGATGTGTACATGGACAAAGTCAAGGGTATTTTTGAAATGCCAAGTTTGTGCAATTCTTGTGTTTTTTTCTTCGTGCAGCGGCAATTTTTGTTACAAAAATTACTGCTACACAAAGACAAAATAATAAGAAACGCACAAACTCAGTATCCGTGTACCACCAAAAATTGCCAAGGGGCACCTGCCAAACTACAACTCGAAAGCACGACAGCGCCAGAAACATTATGCTCAAGAAGATAAAAATCAGCAATATCGACCTATTAGCTGATCTTTTAAATCATTATAATAAGAAATCTTGAAGTTATTATTTCCTAGGCAAATTTGTCATCAAATACATCCTAAAGAATTCTTAAGCACTTTTAGTGCAAGGGTTTGGTTTTCAGACCGACGTTCCCCCTGAATTGGAAGGAATGTGTCCTTGTGGTTTAACATGTAAATAACATTATATTTGAGTTAGAGCATAAGGTGCCAAAGGGAAGCCAAGCTTCAAGAACTGCAACTTTTGAGCTAGTTGATGCCCTTTGACCTCTCAAATACAATTTGCTTGCAATACATAGCTTAGTTTAATTTTCAAAATATAAATCATACAAATAGCTATCAAATTTTACAATACATATATTGTTACTATGTGTGATATATATAAATATTTCTAAAATATGGCTAACATATTTATTTTACTATGTTAAATATGCTAGCCATATATATATATATATATATATTGGTAAAGATTGTTAGTTTTGTGAAGGTAAATACTTCACTTCTGAACACAATATTTTTCTTTGTTACACCTCTAAGGAAACTTATCAAATTTAAGCCTAACCAAGTGAAGACTAAAATTTATTGTGATAAATCAATTTATATATTTTTTTCATTTCTCAGAAAAGTTCTTACTCTAAGTTAAAATTCTAATGTCTCATTTCAAAAATACAGCTAATAATGAACATTACATATCTAAAAATGAATAACAGATTATACTACCAAATTTAAAATATACAGTGGACAACTTTCGGGAAGCTGAACTTACCATGTTTCATCATCACTGTTAAAAACTTGATAATTACTTTTGAACATGGTCGAATTAGAACTTGACGTTTTCCTCGTTTTTCAGCGTTGTTTATCGACTTAAGAGTGTCTGCAAGGACATTCATTCGAACCATTCTGGACAATCTGCAAAAAGAAACGACTTACATCAACATTAAGAAATGTTTTAGTTTCCTTTATATACTTCGGATATTAATATTTTAAAATGAAATTTTTCAACAACACGGCATATGGATACAGGTTTCTTATACGAAAGAATACTGTGAGCAAAATTTAATTCATTAAATTTTAATATTCATATATATGCATTTTATTTTTTTTATTGGTAGAAAACAATCTGCAATTAAACATATCCTCTAATTATTTATGATCCCGATTAGAATGGAGTATTGCATTGACATACTTATAGCTAACTCAAACTAACAAGCAGACTTTTATGAATTAGAAAAGTAAGAACTAAGCACATCAACAAATGAAAATATACATACCTATGATTTGTACCAAATATAAAGATATATATTTGTTCTCAAAATATGATGTTAAAAGATTCCCTGAAATTTCATTCAGGACCAGAGACAGCGCACCTCAAAATTCTCACATTGCCAACATAAGCGACAGTTTATCCTATGTTATCGTTGAAAACCATCGATTTCTTACATGGATCTAGAGCAAAGCGTTTTTTATTTCATAAACTTAGAAAGCATAATTAATTTGTTTCTAAAAATTGAAAAAAGCATTTTACCTAAATTTAGATGCAACAATCAAATTTTCATTTTAATATTTATTGCATTATTTTTACCGCATTTTGTACTTAACTGTAACCGATAACGACAGTTGAAAAGTGTGTCTGTCTGTGTGTTTGGTATTTAAATACATAAATTTTCTTGAGTATATCTATCAATATTACAAATTGCATAATGGGCGATGGCTACATTAAGAGTGCTTTCAATATTGTTTTGCAGAACGTACCGTCTTTATTTTGTAATTTTTGCGGCTATTCTAATACTTCAGATAATTTTAGCTATAAGTTTTTATAAAATTCGAATTGATGATGGGAATTTTATGTTAAGTAAATCTTCAGACAGAAAAAAAGGGAATGTTCAGGTATTTTTGCTTTTCAACTTTTTATACCCTGTATCCATTTTTTTAAAAATTAATAGTCGGAATATTAAATGTCTGGTACATGATATTAATTATGCATTTTACCTAATATTAACTACACTTCTGCTGTATTATACAGAGATTTGGTGTTTTCTGCATGTCATTACCAAGATTTATTTTCTAGTTAAACAGTTACATGAGCTATAAAATTTGGCTGATCTTTGGAATATGGTAAGTGGTAGTTAAAATTTGTTTTTAATTTTATTATAAGACACGTGATACTGTTTTATATAAATAATTGCAGTGTCTACGTGTGTATTACGTACTTTACTTAATTACATATTTCAGTTACTTAAATGCAGCAAGTATTCAGTGTTTAGTTTCAGCCGAAGTAAAATGAAACTACTTTTCAATATTTCGTAATTTCTGCTGGCGAGGTGAACTCGAACCTATGTTGTGGAGGGTTCGTACGGTCCTTAAAAGTGCTTAGGTTTTTTGGAATCGAATTTTGGCCCTTAAATTCGCCCAAAATTGCCAGAAGGTCCTTAATTTTAATCATCTGAAATTTCTGCCTGCTTTTTCGATTGCTGTTTTGAGTGTGAATTAGCATTTTGGAAGAATATTTTTGGCGATTCACTGATAAATATGGTTATCTTTTTAAATGGGCGAATGGGTTATAAATTGTTTCTTTTTCTAATACAAATGTTAAGATACTCGACATTCTGGGCAAAAAGTGAAACAAAAGCATTTAGAATTTATTTTGTTTTTTTTTTCTAATGAATAGCTCTTAAACAACTTTTCTCATTTGGTGATGTGAATCCTTTTATTAAACTGCCCCAAGTTTGCTGACATATCAACGTTTTGGCGAATTTAAGATCAGTTTGTATAAAAATTGTTTTTCGGCGATATGGGAATTTTCGACGTTTTTTTTAAACATTTTAACATTGAATATCATTAAAACAATGATAACATATTGAAATTATAGGTACTTTTCCATTTCGCCGCCGCAAATTTCGCCAAGCAGACTTTATTGCCGACAACACATAGCATACGCATATAAAATGTTAACAAATGTTGGTTTTAAGAATTTTTTATTTTGAGGGCATAAACATTTTAATATTGTTTAAATTTTATTAAAAGCCAATAATTAAAGACAATAAATTTGTAAAAAGTCATTAATTTAAGAATTTACTATGCCTTCATGCTACAACATTGTGATTCACGTGATCCCAAGTGATCTCATCTCGCGTAAACTACACTACAAAAATCTAATTCTCTCGGTAATTATCTACATTAGGTTAATCTTTGGATTATGATAACTTGGCGATTTTTTGGTGAAAATTTGGCGAACAAACCTGCTACAGCAACCTGCTAGTTTTTGTTTGGACGCCATTTTGTTTTCACAAAGTAAAGTCGTGTTTTTTTTTACTCAACATTTTTTCCAACAATCTGCTAGCCGAATTACGCTTGTGCTAGAACTTTTATGTAACAAAAATGCTTAATCATGACGAAGAGTAGGTGCGAAATTGGGAGAAAGTGCAGAATCATAAACTGCTTGCCGCCTTTTTAAGAATTGCACATACACGGTATCCATGTACACATCGACCTATTTTCACTTAAAAAAACATCCCAGAATTGCACAAAAATGGCATTGCGCACACTCTTGATTTTATCCATGTACACTGCTAAAGTCCTAGCTAGTAACCTTTATCGCCTTACCAAAATATCGCCAAACTACCTGTTACCATATTCCAAAGATTAGTGCTACATTATTTTGAAGTTAAATCTTAATTTGGAATACAAGTTTAAATGCAAGAATTATTTAAATTAGTATGAATAGCTTACTCAGAAATTATGTAAAACCACAGTGTTTTACTTCGCTAGTGCATTCTCATTAGATTTGATGAATTTAACCCTTGACTTTGCCTTTTCTATATTTTCGACTTTGAGTGAGCGGTGTGATTGCATCCTAACCAACTTGATTACCGCGAATGGCCTTTGGGCATAAAATTGAACTATCTGGTAAAAATTCTATGTAATTGTATGCCGGTATTGAAAGAAACAACCAATATGATAAGAAATGGCTGCAACTTGTTTTTAAAATGAGGTGTAAAAGGTTACCAGGGAGGATATTCCCTTTGGCATCAGTTGTACCATTATTGGCGACTTTATCACCTGCGCCGGCAAAATGGAAAAGTACCAAATTATATTTAAGAAATAACATTAAAATGAAGCATTTTTATTTTTTGCTGCAATATTATAAAGTGATATTTCTTTCCATCTTGGCCACTTATTATGCAATATTGTGAATCTGAAAAATAAACAAGGTAATAAAGCACAATTTACGAAATATTTCTTAGCAAAAGCAAAGTAGCTATATAATTATTTTCATGGTTAGAGTTTTTTCCATGCAGCTATCTCCAAGTGTGCATCATCATTTTACAACACCTTTTTCCTCTTTCCCCCTCAAAATATTTCTGGCATTTGGCTGTTACAGGATTGGTAGTAGTAATTTTTCTTTAGGATTTAGGGCATTGCAGCTTAGAAAGTTTAGAAGGATTTGAAGGCAAGATTTATTGACTCAAGATTCTAGAATATTCAAGAAAAATGTTATCAAATGAAAAATGTGTTCATGGTATTAACATGTGATAGGTGTATTTTACAGAAAGTTTGTTATGAATTTGTTGCTTGTTGGAAAGTTTTTTGAAAAGCAAAACATAATATTTAAATGTTTTACTTCTGACACTATAAGTTTTTTTTTTTTTTTTTTTTTAACATGTTCTTCTTTCTTCTATTTGCTCTACTTTTCACTAGACAAATGCGTGAAAATTATTAAAAATTCTTGTGGTCTTATCACATAGACAGACATTTACAGAAAGGAATTTTTCTATTTATTTAGAAATTGAAAACTGACAATTTAAAAGATTCATCTTATATCTCTCATCTTATATATCTCAACAGGGCTGGCGCTAGGCATTTTCCCACCTGTTGCAATGTCTGTGGATACTAAGCTCTGCTACCTAGTGCCTTCTTATATTTTGCACTCTGTGCCTATCTTAAATTCTAAAAGTTTTGCTATTTCTAGAATTTTTTTCTTGGTGGGTAACTAAATTCTAAAAATTCAGCCATATTGGCTCCATAACTGGGCCTTACCATGTATCATTTCATATTTATTCTGAATGCTTATATTACTAAAGAAATAAAATTAGCAGCTTTTTCTGTTCATTTAGTTTTTAGGATAGCAGAAATCTTTAATTTGTCGAGACATTTTTGGAAGCATGAAAAATTGAGCGGCACCTTCTCTGGGAATTGAACCAGGGGCCTCTGGCATATGCGCCCAGCATGCAGACCACTACACCATGAAAGCATGCTAAGAAGATGGGAGAAATACCTTATATATTCCCCTTTTAAGGGCGACTGGTGTTTTTTTTTTAGGCGATCCAATTGCCAAATCCTGGGTGTGGAGAATCATCCACTACCCTTTTTTAGTTCGGGTGCCACTATAGAGACATTAGGATTTTTTCAAAGCAGGAAAGATGAGCAACGCCTTCACCAGGAATCGAATCATGGACCTCTGGAATACGCGCCCAGCATGCAGACCACTGTACCACAAAGGCACGCTAAGAAGGCGGGAGAAATACCTTATAATTTAAATTCTAAATGAAGAGGAAACTGAATTCATAAAGAGAAAGAAAATTATTCTTCAAAGATATGTATAGTTATTATTATATAAATTAACCAGTTGTTTATAATTTCACTCTTTACTATAATGCCCCTTTTTCTTCCAGCCCCTCAGGGGGCTCACTTTTGTGAGTACGGGTGTGGCAATCCCGAGGTACCCTAGCCCTTCAGGGGATCATCTTCTTGATGAGACGGGTGTCACGATCCTGGAGCCCCAGTGATCTATCCTCTTTTCCGTCTCCTCTCCTCTTGGCTGGCACTTTTTCCCTTCCCTTCTCCCTCGTGGTTTCTCTCTATGGAGTTTGGAGCTCGTCACGAGAGACTGGAGCATCCCTTGTCTCTAGTTTTCGAGTGGCGAGAAAACTGCCCATGTGTTTGCCGTGCGTGGAGACCCGTGTCGCTGGAAAGGAGGGTCCTGGTAGTTGAGGGGCGAGGTACTGTCCCCAACACACTACTTTGGCCTCTGCTTCAGCTAAATGGGAGGCACCTTAGTCGTCCTCACGGGTGTCAATCGGCTGGTCACTAGTCCTTGTGTCAGTGGCTTGGGGTCAAGCTCTCGGGAGTACCTGCTTTCGGGAAAGCCGACTGTGGGGCTTCAGTTTGCGTATAGGTCCGGCTAGCCTTAACACAGTAACACAGGAATCTGTGTTCCCTTGTTGGGCTCCGTGGTGGGCGGGGCCGTCGGACCCGAATCTTATATTTTCTTTCCAATTATGGCTTCCCTTTTTATTCTGAAAAAAAACCCGAATCAAATGATAACCAACCAAGATATAGAAATTGTCGACAAATCTATTAACAAGAAGATCCGTGCTGATGAAAATACCAAAGATATTGAAATTATTGACAAATCCATTACCAAAAAGATTCCGTACTGATACAAATGCCAAAGAATCTGCTGATTGTCCGCGCTTTGTTGTTGTTTCCAGTGCCTCTGGAGAATTGCAAAAGATGTCTCCTTTCCTGGTCAGCAAATACATTCAATTCATGCGTAGGTGAGCCAAGGAACATTAAAGCGTCTCCGTTCTGGAGACTTGCTCATTGATACCCTTTCGGCCACCCAGTCTGCTTCACTTTTACGTCAAACCAAACTTGGACAAGTAGCTATAACAGTGTCAGCACACAAAACACTTAATACCTGTAGAGGCGTGATCTCGGAGATCGACCTTTTGTGTATTTCAAAAGAAGAGTTCGTCTCCGAGTTAGCTGACCAAAATGTCTGTGGTGCTAGGCGGATCAAGATGCGAAAGGAAGGTCAGTTGATTGACACGAAACACGTGATCCTGACCTTCAAATCGCCTGATCTGCCGAAGAATATAAAGGCT